GAGCTCATAGATAATTTAGTCCCTTGCAACTTGAAAAATTCAGACCAAAAGCTGCTCATAAAAATCCGGTCTCGATCAAAGACTATGGACCGAGGTGCCCCATGCAGTTTCATTACGTATTCCACGAATAACCTGGCAATCGACTTCGCGGTATAAGGATGGGTAATAGGTATGAAGTGAGCATACTTCGTGAGACGATCCACCACAACCATAACACCGTCAAATCCATTAGAACTTGGTAGCCCCTCGATGAAGTCCATGGTGATGTCTTCCCAAATTGCCTCGGGTACTGGTAGTGGTTGCAATAGCCCACTTGGCCGTCGCGAGTCAGACTTAGTACGCTGACAATCGTTGCATCTTGCTATGTAGTCTCGGACGGTACCTTGCTGTCCCGGCCAGAAGAAAGTGTTGGCTATTCTCATCCACGTGCGATAGATACCCGAGTGGCCTCCAACCTTAGAGTCATGGAAGTGCTGCAATATCTGTTCGCGCAACTGCCCACTGTCGGGAACATAGACTCGACCTCGGTGTAGAAATATACCGTTATGCAACTCGTAATCGATAGCAGTCGTCTTACCAGCTTCTATCGATTGGCGCAGCTCCTGGCAATGGGTATTCTCCACTTGCGCCTTCCTGATCTCTTCCCAAATGGCCCAAGTAGGCCCAGTGATCGCACTCAACTCGGCCACGTCTGTTCGTCGGGATAGTGCGTCGGCTACTGCGTTCTGTCGACCTGGTCGATAGATTATCTCGAAGTCAAACCCCATGAGTTTAGACACGAACTTCTGCTGCTCGGGGGTAACAATTCTTTGCTCCAATAGGTGCTTGAGCGGTTGTTGGTCGGTAATAATTTGAAAACGTCGACCTAATAGATAAGGCCTCCAGCATCGTACAGCCTCAACAACTGCTAGCATCTCCTTCACGTACACTGACAGGCCCAATCGAGTAGTGCCCAGTGCTTTACTGAGATAGGCTAGGGGTCGCCCCTCTTGCACTAGCACAGCTCCAATTCCAATGTCACTCGCATCGGTGTGTACCTCGAACAAGATATCAAATCTGGGCATGGCGAGTACTGGCGTTGTAGTCATAGCTTCCTTCAATTTTACAAATGCCTCCTCGCTAGCTTCGGTCCATGTGAACCCGCCTTTCTTAGTCATTGCTGTTAGTGGCCTGGCGATGGTTCCATAATCCTTTATGAACTTTCGGCAGTAGCCTGTGAGCCCCAGAAATCCTCTCAATTGCGTGAGACTAGTTGGCTTAGGCCAATCGACCATAGCCTCAATCTTTCGTGGGTCGACCTTCACGCCCT